ATATGGTCATTTTCTCTCTCTCTCTGAGCCAATATGGCAAGCCGCTTTAACATTTAATCATTTTAACCTACTAGTCTCTATTTTCATGCTACTAGTACTTATTTTTTAGATACTAGTATCTATTCCATTAAGTACTAGTACTTATTCATTTGGGACTAGTGCTTATTCTTTAGTACTAGTGCCTATTCTTTAGATACTAGTGCTTATTCTTTAGATATTCTTTTGAATACGTATTAGTAGCTAATGAATAAGTACTGGTATCTATTTAATATGTACTAGTATCTAATGACTTAGTACTAGTATTTATTGAATAAATACTAGTATCTATTAATAGGTACTAGTATCTAAAAGGTCATTTTCTCTCTCTCTCTCTCTCTCTCTCTCTCTCTCTCTCTCTCTGAGCCAATATGGCAAGCCGTTTTAACATTTAATCATTTTAACCTACTAGTCTCTATTTTCATGCTACTAGTACTTATTTTTTAGATACTAGTATCTATTCCATTAAGTACTAGTACTTATTCATTAGCGACTAGTGCTTATTCTGTTTAGAATATTCAAAGTGCTTATTCAATTTTTATGCTTATTTATATTTTCAGAGCAGAAAATCCGATTTTTCTGCTTATTCAATATTGCATCTAAAATGTAAGTGACTTGACGTGTGTGTGTGTGTGTGTGTGTGTGTGTGTGTGTGTGTGTGTGTGTGAGAGAGAGAGAGAGAGAGAGAGAGAGAGAGAGAGAGAGAGAGAGAGAGAGAGAGAGAGAGAGAGAGAGATTGCGTCTGTTACAGTGACAAGAGTTTAACCCTTTAAGGCCTTGTCTTTTTGGATATATATCTTTTTTTTATATAAAAAAAAGTGCATACAACCCATATATTTTAAATGTATTGTTTGCTTTAAATTAAATTAAGATTGTATGTTTGGTAATTGAACCTAAATACATTTAAAATTAATGTGCTATATTTCAGATCAATATATTTGTTTTCCTTCATTTTAATCAACACTAACTTTATTCTCATCTGAATTATAAATAACTTATTTCTGTATAAAATAAAAAATCCCGAATAATCCAGACCAACCAGAGCGCACTATTTCTACAACATCATCAGTGCTGAAGCGGAACTACCAGAGCCGTTCGGCAGATAGCGAGCAGATATTTTGTGTCACGTCGTGCACAATAACCCTAAAGGCACCAGGGTGGCGGTGCCACCGGCTTTTTATATATATATATATATATATATATATATATATATATATATATATATATATAAATATAGCTGCGAGCAGCGATGAAGGGCCAAAGCCGGCGGCACCGCCACCCCGGTGCCTTTAGGTAACTAAAGGCACCGGGGTTGCGGTGCCACCGGCTTGGGCCCGTAATCGCTGCTCGCAGCTATATTTGTTATTGCTACCGTGTTCTTTATTTAGGCTATTACAGTTCGTTCATTTATTTTTCGTTTTTCTTTATTTAAATTTCCTTTTTCCTTTATTTAAATTTCGTTTTTCTATATTTAAATTTCGTTTTTATTTATTTCAATTTCGTTTTTATTTATTATTTATTTCAATTTCGTTTTTACTTTATTTTGATTTCAATTTCGTTTTTATTTTATTTTTATTTCAATTTCGTTTTTATTTTATTTTTATTTCAATTTAGTTTTTATTTATTTCAATTTCGTTTTTATTTATTTAAATCTACCCTACTTTGTCAGTGAGAAAATTATTATAAGACTATACCTTATTAAAAATATTGCTTAAAGCTGCAGTCCGTAGCTTTTTCTCTTTGTCGCCATCTCTCTGTTCGAAATCTGTAACTGCAGTGATTCGCGGAATTATCATCTTTACGTGGGTTGTAAATCGGCATTAAACAGCGCGGATGAACACAGTGCTTTGAGGCGAGTGGTGCTGTCAGTCACTGTCATACAGAATCACAGATTCACTTTTTGAAAGTTTGACCAACATAAGAATTTTCATAAGAAAATGTCTTCTGAACAAGTAAGTAAAATCCATTTTTGTTCTGACCAACTAGGGGAAAAAGCATTCGACATGATAAGCTTCGTTAGATTTAATCAACGCGATTTACAGCAACCGTGCAAATTATAGCCTACTTTGTTCTCAAATTGTTCATGTTAACAACATCACATCAGCATTGCGTGACTAATGTTAAATTTAATGTGTTTTATGGTTACCTGTGTAGTTCAGAATTCATATTCTCAATAATAGCAAAACGAGAAAGGCACAACAAAGGAAACTCCATAACTGTGTGAATTAAGAAAACGTACTGTTACACGATTGAACTATTGAAATGTCTTAACTTACTTGTTCAGCAGAAAAAAGCCGTCTCTTCTTCCGTTTTGAACCCCTTCAAAACACGGAGTTCACGCACTTTTCAAAAGCCCCGCCGATGTTTAAATCCTTGTGTTCGCATGAGACGGTTTCTTTCTCTTTCTCTAGCCACCTTAAATCCGAAGTACGAAGTCTTTTGGGTTTTATAACTGCTGAATCTCCAGTTGACACTGATGATTGTTGTTTGGATCTTTCTGGATGCCATAAGTTTAATCATGTAAAGTGCTGCGAGAAAAGCCTATACATCTAAACATCTCGTCACGCGCAGTATAGCCGGCTAGCCGAAACTCCTTCTTTATGTGTACGGGTGTGACGTAATGACTCAAAGACATGCTCGAATTTCCCGCGGAAACCCACCAGTACCACTGGAATTAAAATCATTATTACAAGCTAAGCGTTTTGAATCTAGCTATGGCAAGCAGATAGTTTTGACCACTGGCAGAATAAGTTTTTTTTATATAATTATTTTGGATTATTTTTAACTTAAAAAAGCTACGGACTGCAGCTTTAAGTTAAAAGACCTGTGTGTGTGTTTGTTTTATATCATTAGTGCAGTGTCCGTTCTCGGAGCATAAGCTCTGCTCGCGTGAGGCGCGCCGCTTGCGCTGTTCTGTAGTTTATTAAAAGTTTATTCATTCTGAACGTGTCGCGTGACGTGTCTCACCTGTTTATCTATATTGCACCAAATACGACACTGCGCTCCCTTTTGAAGTCGTTTGGATGAACGGTTCTCGAAATAATCAAAATGCAAACGGACAGACAGACATATAGAGATTCCGAAGCTTCGAATATTCGAAGTTCATTACTACCGAAGCTTCGAAGCTCAAAAAATGGTATTCGGACCAGCCCTAGTTATCAGACTCCATGTCGTTCGCTGCAGTGCCGTCGCATAGACTGTATATAAAAAAGGAGAGAGGCTCGGGAGCGCGCATGCACGTCACATCCGATGGATTTCGCATAAAATCCGACCCGGAGACTTCACATAGAAATAGGAATACTGGCCTTCAGAGGATCATTGTAATGTGTGTTTACAACCCCTTCACACACAGGTAGAGCTGGGTTTCGATTCAAATTTCAAGAATCGATTCGATTCCGATTCTCAAGATCTTGAATCGATTATCATTATTCAATCCGATCTAATACGATTTTCGAGATTTAGATATGAGTTTTTTTGTTTTTTCCAGCTGTTACCTGAATTACAGGACTGTAGTTATGCAACATATTGATACTATTAGGCTATTATAGACATTTAACTGCTTGTTTTGAACTTCATGCATGTGTATTGAATGTTAAACAAGTTAATAATGATAACAAACAAGAATGTTTATCGTGGTGATGTGTAGCCTACAGAGGCTTCGCACAGACAGTGAATGAGAGAGATCGGCAGAGCGCGTGCGGATTACCTGCGGCTGTCTTTGAAGTCATATGTATTCGTGAAAAAGGTTGCCGTGTCAAAGGAAAGCGAAATATTTGTCATATCATCCTTTTAACGTTCACGTCACGGGTATTTACCATAAATGCGCGTCAGGAGCAGCGCTGGTCAGCATTCCACAGCGCGAGGAAGCCGTGGGGAAATAAAATCAGCGAGTCACGCATTGAATCAATGCCATATTGGTCTCTAATAAGTGAAGCATCAGCTTCAGCGTTACCCATGCGACGCATTGCTGCTCAGCTGAGCCTTGAAAAGTGGAACTCAAAGTTAAAAATAATTAACACCTTGTTTCATTACATCTCTTTTAATGAATCAGCTTTTTTGAACGTGTTCGTTGAATGAACGAATGACTCACTCAAAGCCCGTTGTTGTAACAGTGTGCGCGCTGAGTGAAAGCCTTTCAATGCGCATACAGGGATCTCCCAGTCGCGGCAAGTTAAAGTTCCTATTATTAAATCGATCCTCTGAGTTACGGATCGATCTTTAGAAATTAATATGAAAATCGATTCAAAATTGGTGAATCGATTTTTTCAACACAGCCCTACACACAGGCAATAAAAAAAGGATTCATTTTAGAAGAAAAGTTACATATAGCACCTTTAATTATGTTATACTTATAATATTATGTTGTTAAATGTTTAATATGTGTATTTGCCATGTAATAGCCGGTGATCCTGATATGGCAATAAACTCAAATACTACAACTACTATTGATTCTCATCCACAGACGACTTTTGGGCGCAGGGAGGGACATTTTTACAGCGGTATGAATAAGCAGCACGGCACAAAGGTTCATATGCTCATGGTCTCCAAGTTATGACCAGAAATGGATAAGTATTAAGTCTGCTGTTAAAACAAGTAAAGATCCAATGTAGGAGAATGGTTATTATGCGCAAACAGCAGGAAACTCTGTATATTCGTGCAGTGTGCGCATGTCAAAAAATTCCGATTTGAAGCTTGTGACATATAAACACGCACATCAACCCGATCACGTTTAGCGTTCATGTAAACACTACGTTCGGATTCATCAATCGGAATGAATTCAGTCCGATTGAAGCAAAAGTTGTGCATGTAAACATAGCCAGTGATTCTCAGAAATCGCTTCCTGCACCTTAAAGTTCATGCAGGTGTAGTTCACCACAATAGATATGAACATGTTCCACTAAAGTTTGACAACCTGAAAAGTTTCCAAATAATTGTATAATTTATGAACTTCCTCTTTGTTGTAGGTTTATGACAAGTATCCAGACTTTGATCTGACCAGCAGAAAGGAATTTATCCGGGTTACAGTTAAAAGTGTAAGTACCTCCAAAGTGATAATGCAGTATTTTATAATCAATTGGTCAATAAGAAGCTGTTATAATGGGTACATTTCTTGTTTTTCAGTTGATATCATGAAGTGAAGAGAAGAAAATGCCTTATTTAAAAGGACAGCAAGGGTGAAGATCGTATACAAGACTTGATTTTCATTACACTGTTCACAGTTGTGTAGTTTTTATTTTTATTTTATACAAGGTTTCTCAACTTTCCAGCAAATTCTGCTTTTTCAAATTTTAAAAAGTCTTTTCTAAAGTTCACATTTGACAGAGACTGATGTAGATTGTTTTGTTTGTTGAAATATACCACATTTTTAAAAAGTTTTTTTCCCCACTTTTTTAATGGCTCATAGTCATAGCATAGTCACTAAATTGCATTTTGACGGTCTTAGAAAAGACTGGCTGTGGCCTGCAAATACATTACAGTTGATGTTGCCAAGATATCGTACGCAATATTTAAAAAAGTATTTGGTACCTGTTATTAGCGCTGGGTTTCATTTTTGAGATCCTGAATGCTGATTTGCAAAAATGAAACTTATTTAGAAATTAATGTTTTGGTCTATTTTTTTTTTCCAGCATGCAATTTGACAGTGTCATCTTCCATTTCAGTGTTGTGCTTAGAATAATTTGGGGTTTTAATACTAATTTGTAAAGATTTTTTTAAATCTTTGTTTCAGTTTTTTGTTTGTAAATATGCTTTGCATGTTCAGTTTTCTTTCCTATATTTTTAATACTAGTCATAAGGATCAAACATAACTTAAATCCGTATCTTAAATGTAACTCATACCTGCAGGTCCGTGTTGTAGATTAGGTTCTCTGATAGAACAAGAGTTAAGTTTGATCTGGTGTATACAGTGACCTCAGTAACAGTTTTATCAGTTATCATCCATCATATTACTCTGTGGTAATGCATCACAAAACAGAAACGAAGATGTTTATTTTGTAATAAATTGATTTTTCATAGGATATAACCTGTCTGTTTCTTAAGACTGAGGTTCAGTTGCCACTTTTTGATGGTGTTTCTACATTTTTATGTCAGTTAAAATTGTTTTAATGTGTCACTCAAACTTTTGGACTGGTCATCCACTTTCCAACACAATTCGGCTATAATTATGACAAAGAGGTCTCTCCATAATTCAAACGCTCTGCCGATGTTGGTCCGTGTTTTCGTCCTAAGTCGATCCGATTCACGTTTGGCCTGATGAGCTTCAGCAAATACATTTTTGTTTTGTTTTTTATATTTCTGTGGAGTTTGTATTGGAGTCTGTGTTGTGCTGGAAGCAGGTCGTTTTTGGGTGTTATCAGACTCCATGTCGTTCGCTGCAGTGCCGTCGCATAGACTGTATATAAAAAGGAGAGAGGCTCGGGAGCGCGCATGCACGTCACATCCGATGGATTTCGCATAAAATCCGACCCGGAGACTTCACATAGAAATAGGAATACTGGCCTATTTGAATACTGGTCATCCACTTTCCAACACAATTCGGCTATAATTATGACAAAGATGCTCGTTTTTAATTATTCTGTGTGTTTTGATTTCCAAGGTTTATTGACGTTGTATAAACAAATACCTCAAGTTCAAGTTTAGTTTATTGTCATATGCATATTAGTACAGAGTACCACAGCAATGAAATACAAAGTGCCTTAGCACTCTCTCAACACCAGTCAATAAATAATTAAAATTTAGATTAAAATTTAAACATCTGCTCAAACCTCAACCCTCTTTCCTCTTGTACTATCGTTCAGTAGCCTTACAACCTGTGGGTAAAAACTGTCCCTAAAACGTGATGTGCGCGTTGGGATGCTCTGCAAACGTCTCCCTGATGGAAGTTGGGAGAAGAGATTATGTGCCGGATGACTAACATCCTGTATAATACCTAGTGCCTTCTTTGTGCTGCGTTTCCAATAAATGTTTTGGAGCGATTCTAATGGAACCCCAATAATTTTGGATGCAGTTTTAACCACCCTAGTCAGTAGATTCAATTCACGTGAAGTAGCCCTGCCAAACCACACTGTAATATTACCTGTCAAAATACTCTCAATTGTACAGCGGTAAAAATTTTGTAAAATGTTGAGTGACATACCATATTTCTTGAGACACCTCAAGAAATAAAGCCTCTGATGTGCCTTCTTAATGGTACAAGTGATATGAAAAGACCATCGAAGGGAGTCTGAAATATGGATGCCTAAAAATTTAAAAGTATTAACAATTTCGACTGCAGAGTTATTAATGTAGACAGCTGCATGTGTGGGTTTATGTCTTCTAAAATCTATGATGACCTCCTTAGTTTTCACCACATTAAGGGACAGATTATTTCTTCGGCACCACATGATCAAATTACTCACTTCATCCCTATAGGCAGTTTCATTATTGCGGTCAATGAGTCCTACCACAGTAGTATCGTCTGCAAATTTTACAATTCTATTTGTGGGATGTTTTGCAATACAGTCATAGGTATACAGACTATATAATAGAGGACTAAGACAGCAACCTTGAGGTGCTCCGGTATTTAACACAATAGAGGCTGAGTATTTAGTGCCTACTCTAACTGTCTGAGAACGGCCTGTTAGAAAGTCCTGTATCCACCTGCAGATGGAATTACAGAGACCCAGGTCTAACAGCTTAGATATTAAAATAGAAGGTCTGATGGTATTAAAGGCACTGCTATAATCAACAAACAGCATCCATACGTATCCCTACCCTCTAGATTGTTGAAGTGCAGTATGTAAAACCAAAGATACAGCATCGTCCACAGCTCTATTTGATCTATATGCAAATTGTAGTGTATCAGTAAAGAAAAGGACCTCCGAGGACCAGTATCTCCGAGGATCTTTAAAGAAAAAAGCGAAAAATGTGTGTTCCCTGACCGGGAATCGAACCCGGGCCGCGGCGGTGAGAGCGCCGAATCCTAACCACTAGACCACCAGGGAATGTGATAGTACGTAAGAAAAAAGTCAGTTTTTAAAAAAGTCAGAAATATTTCCCGCTTATTTTCACTTTTTACATAATTCGATTTAAGAAGGATTTCTTTGCATTTTGCTCGCTCCATGTTGTGGCCAGTAGAGTCCTCCTTTTTATGCGTTTTAGAGGTTTGACATTTCCCGTTGTGGCCAATAGAGGTCGTAGATTGACGCGTTTTTAGTTTTGCTCTGTTGGAGGTTGAAGTTGAGGGGTCATGTTGCATAGTAGTGGCTTACTGTAGCTGACATGATGCAGGCAGAACAGTAGAGACTTACAGCCACCTGCCTGCAGGAACTGAACAGCAGCGACTCACCGTTAAAACAAGCCCTCGGAGAGGAAGGGTATAACCTGTCATTAGGGTAAGCGATGTTTTGAACGCTGTTTTTGTTTGTTTGTGTGCTTATGTTGCTAAATTAGAAGCATGGCAGGCCCTTAGTGTTGGAAGTGTTCACTAGTATTACTGTTAGCTCGTCCAGTAACATGCTGTCAAAGCGGTTCCTAGATAAATGTGTATAGCTTGCCGCCACATTGAGGGGATAAAATGTATAAGCTAATTTATTCTGTTTAATGTATATGTACGTCAAACTAGTCAATACTATTTAACTAGCAGCCAGGTGCTTTATACATGAACTGTTGCTAATGCTAAAGCGTTAGCCGTTTGGCTAAAGTTAATATCATGGAACCGTGTATCAGGTTTATCTCCTCGCAAAAGACAAAGATAATAAATATTATCTGATACTGTTAAAGGGCATTAACGCAGTTCATGCAAAACTGTAGTTAACGTTGTTCAGCGACTGATAGCTTTAACTTAGCTCTGTTAGACTGATCTCAGCTCAGCTAAGTTAATGTACAGTTTAATTGACTGACAATAAAGGCAGAAGAAACGTGGGAATTACATCATCCTGAGCACCGCACATTTTATTATTACAATGTAGTGCGTAGTTTGTGCACTAACGTTACCTACCATAAACGTACTACTACCTATTCTGTGAAGTTACAAGTAATGTAAACCATTCAGTAGCAGGTACCATGGTGTTACCGTCTCGTACACCTGCACCAAAGTATTGCTTTGTAAGCATGTTAATTTGTTAAACGGCAAACCTGCAAAAATCGCAGTTTTTGTTGTGTTAGTGCAAATGGATTTGATGCTAATTTGATTGTTATTGTGTTTATATTAATGTGTTTAATTTCGACTTTAAGTATCTATGAGATGTTTTGGAAATAGTCACTTTATATCATCATTATGTTTTGGTTATAAATAATAAACAATTATATGTTTCTTCAGGATGTGTTTTGACCAACAATTTTGCACAAATATGAGCTTGACAGGAATCGCTGGTTAACTTCAGCAATGATTTGCAAAAATATCGAGTTTGACTGTCACAGGAATCGCTGGTTAAGTTCTGTTTTCCTTAACTTCTCACCCCAAAATGAAAATTCTGTCATTAATTACTCACCCTTTGTCGTTCCAAACCTGTAAGACTTTCGTTCATCTTCAGAACACAAATGAAGAGAAAGAGACTCTGTGTCTCTGTTGAGACTCAAACCTATGTGCTGGAATGGGAAAGAGACTTTTTAAACTTGGATAAATGAGAATAATTCTATCATCATTTACTCATTCTCATGTCTCTCAAATGTGTGTGTGTATGTATACCGTATATATCAGGGCTCGACATCAATCCTTTTCATGTGCTTGTCCTTTGGACAATTAAATTTGTCATTCACTTGTCCGAGTAAAAAAGTTGCTTGTCCGGATTTTTTTTATTTAAAATCCTTAATTTAATAAAAATTAAATTAGAATAATAATAAGACATTATATGGCTGTTTCCCTAGGTAGGGTTGATCAAATTAAAGGATGACTAAACCATAAACCAACTTTGTTTAGTTAATGATCTGTAAGAAGAATTGGGCTTTATTAGTGTTGATCATTGATTCGAGTAACTTTTTTGACATTTGGGTATAAAGTGTTTTAATTCTACAATATTTCAGCTCACCACGCCCTTGGCACGAGCTACCACGCCCTTGGCAGTATAAAAACCATCTTGTTTCGTCAAAACCACTGCGAGTCAAGAGTTGGAATTACGAGTATTGAAAACGATCAGGATAGAGTATTTTAGCATCTATTTAGCATAGGATTTATATAGTTATTTAGATTATTTTGTGTAGCCTAGTTAGTTAGTAGCGTAGTACAGTTAAGATAGCTTCAAGTTAGCGTAGATTTATCTGTATTTAGTACAGTGGTCAGGATGGTAATGCAGTAGAGTTGGAAATGGGCTTCTCCACACAGCTCGCGCTGAAAAGCGACTCAGTGCCAAACACTGCTCCTCCTGCATGGACTCCACCACCGCGCAGCGGCGTCT